GGCGGTGATCAGCGACTTATAGCGAGACTGCGACGGGCATTCTGACACTGGGGAGGAACTAACAGTCACTGACATCTGAATGACACCAATACAGTGATCAGTGCTAATAAAAAGTACTGACACTGTACTAATGGCACTGGGAAGGGGTTAACATCTGGGGCAATCAAAGGGTTAACTGTGTGCTATGTGGGTTTTACTAGGGAGATATGCTGTGCAGAGAGATACAAAGCAGCATGTCCTTGCTGGCAGGAGAGGGACCTGTATGTTTACACACAGGTCTCTCCACCGTCAGTAATACTCGGCAATCGCTGGGTGCCGACAGGGGACCCAGTGATCGACATCTGTAGCCATCAACTGCAGAGCGGGTAGGGCTTCACCGACCCAGAAATGTAAAATCACACACACACCAGCAGCAAAAATATCAGTTTAAATTAGGACCTTCAGTTCCATCTACCTGATCCTCCTGAGGGATCTCTTGATGTTCCTGTGTGGAGTCCCGGGAATACAGAGGACGTGGACATCTCTCTGGTGGGTTCCCATTACTGGGTCCATCTGTAGGAAACACACACACTGACTGAATACATTGGGGTTGATATACTAAAGGCAAATAGTTTGTGCACTGCAAGTGCTGTTGCTCTAGATCTGATGGGAAGCTCTGAAATGAGGGGAAGTTCTGCTGATAATTGCTTGCGCAACTATGCGCAACCCAAAAAAAATCTGCTTTGTTTATTTTCCTTCTTTGTATTTGGGTATTCTTTGCAAAGTGAAGCTTTACTTCATCTACTAAGCTCTGAAGCAACTGCAGTTGCCTTTAGTAAATCAACCCCCCTTGTCTCTATGTCTTTATATCATAGCGTGTGTGTATTTAGATGGATGATCAATGCTCTCCTTAGAAAGTCTCCTCTTACCCGGTGATGTGAGGGGCGCCTGGTCCTCCATCATGACGTTCTTCTACAGATCCTTGTGTCCTTCTATATATTCCCACTCCTCTATTGTTTCTATGTCTTGGTATCAGAGGATGTGTGTATCTAGGTAGATCCTCAAAACAAGAAATGAAAGTCTCCTCTTACCCGGTAATGTGAGGGGTGGCCGCTTCTCCATCATGACGTCCTTGTAGAGATCCTTGTGTCCTTCTCAATACTCCCACTGCTCCTGATAAAGTAAAACGAATCAATAAGTTCACATCAAAAACATTAAAAATTCATCCGACGAAAGAAAGAGAAAAAAAAAAATTAAAGCAGGCCTTCCAACCAACCAAAATGCAAGGTCCACTTTTAAGCACTGGTCTATCACTCTATATTTACGCAAATCAGTTAAAAACAGAAGAAAAAAAAAAAAAAAAGGTAAAGTAATAACTTACCTTGCACCACTATAAAGAAACACATTTGTCAGGTCAACCACCATAGTGTTCTAAGCCTTCATTAGAAACAACATTGTACACAATGGGCATAAAAATAGAAAACACGACAGGAAAATGTGGTTGATTTCAAATTTCGGCCACTGATAGTAGGTATCATGTACAGGTCTACAGTTGTGCACAAAGCCTTGCATTCCCTGGCAGAAATAGTGAAATGTTGGCATTGATATTATAAATATGACTGATCATGCCAAAAACTGCCTTCTATATATATAAAATGGAATTTTATTTGTATTCTGAACAATTCTTCTGGCTGTTGTGGCTGCAATCTTTCTTGGTCTACCTGACCTTGGCTTGGTATCTAGAAATCCCAGAATTTTCCACTTCTTAATAAGTGACTGGCATATTCAAAGCTTTGGATATCTTTTTATATCCTTTTCCATCTTTATAAAGTTCCATTACCTTGTTACGCAGGTCTTTTGTGCTCCCCATGGCTCAGTATATAGCCTGCTTGGTGCATCCACGGGAGCAATGTTTCCTTTAGTTCTTGTGCTGCCCCAGGCAACACTAAAATTGAGCACCCCACCAGCACCACCTTTCCCCCCCCAGCCCCCGCCAACTACCCCCCACCCCCATCCCGCCCACAGACAAAGAGTTATCCAAGCACTAACCTTAACTTCTCCAAAAAGCAGCTGGCCATGCTCAGAATCTTCTTTATGTGGGAACTCTGCTTACACCATCCAGCAGCGTGCAACTTCCTCAGATTCCATGGCAGAGGACAGGCAGTGCCTCACCAGGTACCCATCCTTGCCACGTGTGTGCCTTCTTCTGGGGGGCGGTGCCACCCCCCGGAAAATTGTCGCCTAAGGCAAATGCCTTGTTTGCCTTTGCGGTAAATATGCCGTTGCACGTGAGAGCTAACGTACAAATGTACATTAATGTTCTCCCCATTTCCTTAGTGAAACTGTGCTGGTCTTATGGGGGTTTACTTCAATGCCCCCCCCCCCCATGCTACCAAGTACATATAGTTACTCTAGTAGTGGGGGCGCAAAAGGAAAGTCCTGTGTAAGCTACCTCTGCAGCCCTAGCTTAGATAGAGTGTCTGATTGGCCAACTGATGCCACATGGAGTGAGTGACGGGCTCCTTCATACCTGGAAGTATCATGTATATCCTTCAGATCCCCACTCTGAATGTAGTGAGCAAAGGGAAGAGAAGGCTACATCAAAGCAAACCTGTTGCTTTGCCTTGAATGGCCATAGCACTGACTTGTTTTAAAGTGGAACTAAACCCTCCTCTCCTTTTCAGCCAAGGAAGTTGCCATCTTGGCCTCAGTTGCCATGGTGCTGCACATGTGATCAGTTATAACACCAGCCATTGGATGGCTTAACAGTTGGTTGAGAGCAGAAGCAAATGTGACAGTTTGCATTCCTTGATTGTAACCGTTTTTGGAGACCATTAAAGCCGAACTAAACCCTCCATTTTTAACGGTTTCAAAAAACAGTTACATTCTTGGCATACCTTGAATGCAACTGTTTTTAAAAATAGATACACAGAATATAACTGGATACTAACATTTATAGCTAAAGTTGATCCAGGGAATATCCGATTGCCTCTCGGGGGATCAGAAAGGAGTTTTTTCACTGCAGGAGCAAATTGGATCATGCTTTGCTGGGGTTTTTTTGCCTTCTTCTGGATCAACTGTGGATATAGGATAACTTTTTTTTTTTTTTTAATGGTTGAACTGGATGGACTTTTGTCTTTTTTCAGCCAGACTAACTATGTAAATCGATGGGTTTAGTTCCGATTTAAAGCTCCTCTCTTGGCATCACCCCCTGACCCCAACTGACCTGTATAAAAATCCTAAACTTAAGGCCCTTTTACTTACCTATATCCTGACATGTGACCTTCCTTACCCCCACCCTGGTCTCGAGTCTCCTACAGCCTTTACTGAAGAGAAGGAGGATCCTTTTTCAGATGTCCCCAGAGCTGCTAATGTGGATGCCTCCTAATAGCTCTCCAGGATCAGGGTCCTTCAAGGCTTCAGAAGATGTTATGGACAGGAAGGGTGTAGGCAGGTAAGAACACTGGTTGCCACCCTTGGGCTAGGTGCTGGCAAGGACATGGATGGTAAACTCAGACTTTGGAGGGTAAGCTACATTTCTTAAGTCAACAGATGACATCACCTCAACAGATATCAAAGAGGAAAAAAAAAAAAAAAAAAACCACGGGTTGAATTAGATATTTTCGGTTGGCCGCTATTGTGTCCATGGCTCCCCCATGCCACCTCCATAGACTTCAGCACCTTCGAACCATAGGCGTACTTATGTTACGGAGGGAAATCCTTCAAGATCCACAAGCAATGCTGTTCCTTGTGGATAAGAGTTTACTTGAAAAGGTATTTCGGTGAATACGCCCCAGCGGAGCCCCACGATCCATCTATTGTTCTGCAGGACTTCCAGGAATGATGATGATGTGTGGAGGTGACAAAGTGCTGGGATCCCCTTTTCTCATGATAGCAAAACATTATTATCTATAGGTAGACTTCTATAAGAATCAGGTCAGGACTACAACCCCCTCCCCGAGCATCATCAACCTGCAGAGCTGGGAGGAACTGATTGGCTGCTATAAAGCAGCAGACACGGTGCTTCCTTCAAGCACTTGGAAATTAGTTTTATGGCTCGCCAAAAATTATTGAATCAGAATCTCAGTACGGTCTAAAGGTGACATTGCCAATAACTGGCGTTCCCACTTATACGGTATATACCCCAAAACCTCCACATTGTGCCCCAGCAGATCCCCCCATCTAATGGCCTACCCATCAGAGGACCTGCAGGAAGATGAGGATTGGTGGAGGTGACATGATCCCCCCATCCAGGCCACACACATTGCTGGGACCCCTTCTCTCATAATAGGAAGACATTATTTTCTATAGGTGGACTTCTATAAGAAGCAGGTCAGGACTTTCTAGAGAATACACCCCCCAAGCATAATCAACCCCACCCCTGCAGAGCTGGGAGGATCCGATTGGCTGCTATAAGCAGCAGATACAGTTCTTCCTTCAGGCACTTGTAAATGAGTCTCGTCGTGTTTTATGGCTCACCAAAATCATCGAGTCAGAATCTCAGTCCGGTCAGAAGGCGACCTTGACAATAACTGGCGTTCCCACTTATATGGTATATACTCTAAAACCTCCAACTCTGCCCCAACAGATCCCCCATCTAATGGCCTACACCAGGGCTTAAAATTTCAAGTCCTGAGCTACTAGCCATGCCTTAAGAGTTACTCGCCACCAGTTGCCCCACCCAACCCCTACCCTGCTACACCCCTTATTCCGCCCCTAAACACGCCCTCGTAAATTATTTCATGAAATTACACTGTTAAATGTTATTCACATTACATCAGGGTCCCCAGAGTCCCCCCACATTACATCAGGGCCTCCAATGCCCCCTAAACTCCATCATACTTAGACCATGCACCGCATATAACCATAACCCCCCATAATCTTTCACTTACAAAACCATAACTCTACCAAGCATACCCTACCTACTATCCAACCCAGAAATACCTCAAATGTCCCATACTCTACCACCCATAATAACCACATAATCCTGAACCTCACCAAACCACCCATACATGTAGGTTTACATACAGACACATGTACATACACACACACAAACAGAGACACCTGTACACACACACACATGTACAGACACACATACATACATACACACGCACAGACACATGTACATAGATACACTGTGACGTACATGTGACATGATGTAACGTACGTGTGACGTAAATGTACAGATTTGAGTAGATAAGATGTGATCAGTAGCAAAATGTAATTGTAACTGTAGGGACATTCCATTGTCATTAAAGATGTATATTCAGTCAGATGTACTCAGACACAGAGGCATCAATTAGCGTTAGAAAAGCCAGCTTCCTCTGGATGTGACACCTACAGTTCTAATAAGGTTGTCACCTTCTGGGAAAACAGGTTTGGAGGAAATGACTGCACACGGGTTGTCTGCCTGACATTGAAAGCTCTAAAAAGAATATACATACATCAAAGAAGTATGTTTCATCCCTCATAAAAGCTAAAATATTAGTTGCAGAGAGATGGAAATGCTTCCTTCTTGTAGGGCATTCTGTGCGCCACATTGACACCTACAAATCATATTTGTGGTTTAGATAGAAGGCCAGGAAAATGCAGGAAATGGTTAGGTGGCGCTGGATCGCGACAGTCGAATGGTGTTTGGTACTGTCGCGATCGGGCCGATTCGCTGGTGTCGGAAATCTAATCCCTGACTTGGTGTTTCAAGCCGGTCTTAGTCTGATTGAATTTGGGCAGGTCAGCACCCGGAACATCCTGTGGGCAGGTACAGGGGCAGCCTCCCATGGTCAATTGGCCGAGGACTAATGTCCCACCTACGTCCATATCCCCATAAATGGAGTAGCCGGGCATTGGGACATTTGTAATTCGTATGGAGCCAGTTCGAGTTGACTGACGGATTGCTGATTCTCTGACTTGCTCCAGTCGCAGAATAGATCTTGGTAAAAGTTTTAATCCCTGTTTATTATATAGTGAATAGTCATTTGTGTGTCTTCTTGTATTTTTTGTATTTCTGTAACTTTTTATATTTTGTACATATTTCATGCACTTCCCACTTTCGGGAAATTAAATCTTAAAATTAATTAGTGACGTCTGTGAATTTAATCATGTGCTCATATCTCCGGAGAGATTAGATTGGATTAGATTAAATTGTATTGTATTTTAGTGACTTTTAAAACGCTTGGTCGAGCTCATTGCCAATCTATATGCAATTGCACTGTGTGTGGGCAGATTGTAAAAGGGAACAGATCGGTCAGACAGAGATCTGTGTGTGTGAGGTGTCCCAGCAGACCGTTCTGCAGATAAACTGTTGGGTGGTGGCAGGCTACCTTTTGTGGTGTGTCTGGTGCGGGGGGTGGGGGTGGGGGTGGGGGTGGACAGTGGAAGGGTGATTAACACCGGGGTTCAAGCTGTAGGGTAGCTGGAGGGACTCTAGAAGTGTGCGTAATTACTAAGCTGGTCCTCAACTCTAATCAGTGCACCAGGTTGTATGTAAGATTCGTATCTGCCAGTGTGTGGTCGACCAGCTGGATTGGAGTGGAGTCTCCATCTGGTGGTGGCCCAAAGGTAGTGCAGGCTGTGAAAGGGTATCACGGCTGATCTTATATACGTTTTATATGTTCAAAGTTAAGTCCTCTTTATTCCCTCTTACCGCCAGTCACGGCCACACGTGCGCGCCTCGGTTAGCTAGTCGCTGTAGGAGTGGAGTGTGGGTGAATCTGTGACAGATACACAGACACATGTACATACACACACAGACATGTACATACACACATATACACACACAAATATATGTACATACACGCAAACACGTACAAATACACACATGTACATGCATACACAGACAGAGCCGGCTACGGTACTCTAGGGGGAGGCAGAGAACACAGCACACACTCCTTCCTTTGCTTTCAATTTGCTCAACTATTGAGCAGTCTGACGGCTCCCAGTGCCAATGATAGATCTGGCCCTGAGTTCCAAGCCTGCTCAGCAAGACGGCCCTGGGGAAACACTCGCCCCCACCATAATTTCCACTTGCCAATGTGAGCAGGCGAGTGGAAATTTCAAGGCCTGGCCTACACATCAGAGGACCTGCAGGAAGATGAGGATTTGTGGAGGTGACATGATCCCCCCCCATCCATCCCACACACAGTGCTTGGACACCCCTTCTTTCATTATAAGAAGACATTATTATTGGGCGGATAAGTGGTTAGCACCTCCTCCTGGCAGTACTCGGATCGTCGTTTCGAATCCCAGCCAAGGCACCACCTACCTGGAGTTTGCATGTTCTCACTGTAATTGCGTGGGTTTTCCTCCGGGTACTCCGGTTTCCTCCCACACTCCAAAGACATGTTGGTAGGATAATTGGCTCCTAAGTTGGCCTTAGTATGTGAATTAGGGACCTTAGGATTGCGAGCTCCTTGAGGGCTAGGGACTGATGCAAATGTACATTATATATATATATATGAAAATTGTCAGTGCTATACAAGTACCTGTAATAAATCAATAAAATGATTACCTCCTCCTCACTGGGCAGCCAGGCTGAAGCCAACTGCACTCCTTAGGCTGCCTGTTTCCTGTGGGCTACAACAAAATGGCCACCAACCCCTTCCTATCTCTGCTTTGTGAAACAAACTAAGCTTAGCAGCTATATTATATCGTTATTAGCATTCATTAATATTTTAAAAACAAAAAAAACTAATGTATATAAATAGCTGTAATAATGCTGCTGTACTTGGAAGATCCTCAGAGGGAAGAAAGCTAGGCTATGTATTCGCCCTCTAGCAGAGGCTCTAAGTGCTACATCCACCTGGAGGTGCCTGGTTACTGAGGAGAGTCCCCCACCACCACAAGAAGCCGGAAGTGTCCAGCAGGAGCTGCCTGGTTACTGAGTAGAGTCCCCGCCCACCAGAAAAAGCCTGAAGTGTTAAGCTGGAAGTGCCTGGTTACTGAACAAGAGAATCCCCGCCCACCAGAAGAAGCCGGAAGTGATGATAACTCAGGGAGGAAGTGTGTTGTGAGGGAAGGAGCAAAGAGCTGGGAAAGCTGAGTACCTCATAGGTAAACAAAGGTATACACAGGTGTATATCTTGATTTGTCACTTTTTTTGTTAAAGAAATATATTATATAAAAATATTCTTCACAAATATATTGCCATATATTTGAAATGTTACAATTTTGGGAGGGAGAGAGAGACTCTGCATGTTGAAATGTATTTTTATTACAAAATATATGAAAAATACATTTCAAATATACTGGATGTTTTTAAAAATTCAAATCTAAATTTTTGGAATGCATTTACTAATATATGTTGAAATGACTTTTTATATGTTAAAAAAAATCAGATTATATTTAAAACATATTTTTTGACTATATTCTTCAGATTTTTTTAACATATAAAAGTCATATTAACATATTTTTACATATATTTATAAATGCATTCCAAAATTGTAGATTTGTATTTTTAAAGACACAGTATATTGAAATATATTTTTAAAAATATTTTTCAGATATTTTGTAATAAAAATGCATTTCAACAGACAGTATCTCTCTCTACATATATATTGAATATGGCCACAATTTTGGTATTTCAAATATATGGCAATATATTTGGGAAGAATATTTTTTAAATATATTTCAAATATATTTTTCTTCCATATGGGTCTCATCCCTGCTCCTGTTTGCCTCCAAGCTCCTCCAGTGCCTTGTTCACAATCGTATGAATTGCTACCTCACCGACAACAAGCTTCTCGATCCTCTGTAGCAAGGGTGTTAATCTGGTGGCCCTCCAGCTGTTTCCAAACTACAAGTCCCATGAGGCATTGTAGGATTGACAGTTACAAGCATGACTCCCAAAGGTAGAGGCATGATGGGATGTGTAGTTTGGCAACAGCTGGAGGGCCGCCAGTTAGACACCCCTGCTCTACAGTCTGGCTTCCGCTCACAACATTCCCCTGAAACCGCCCCTACTAAAATTCACTGACAACCTACTAACTGCTGAAACCAAAGGCCATTACTCCATACTCATACTCCTGGGACCTTTCCACTGCCTTTGACACAGTTGACCACCCGCTCCCCCTCCGTAAACTCCACTCCATCGGCCTCTGTGACTCTGCTCTCTCCTGGTTCTCCTTTTACCTCTCTTAGCGCACCTTCAGCGTCACATACAACAACTCCTCCTCCGCTCCTCTTCCTCTTTCCTTGGGGTACCCCCAAGGCTCTGTCCTTGGGCTCCTCCTTTTCTCTCTCTATACCTCCTCCCTGGCCCAATTGTTAACCTCCCCTGGCTACCAATATCAGCTCTATGCTGATGACACCCAGATCTATCTCTCCACTCCCCAGCTCACCCCCTCAATCTCACGCATCATAAATCTACTAAGTGACAAATAAGTATGGATGTCACACCACACCCTCAAACTCAATCTTTCCAAAACCGAGCTTGTAGCTTGAACTCTGTGGACTCTGATGTAAAGGAGATCACTGCAAACCATGATGTAAAGGGGAACTTTGATGTAAGGGGGTTTCTGGGCACCAGAGACACAGAGAGTCCCCCCTTGTACTGTAGGGGGGAATCCTGCAGACTCTGATGTAAGGGGGACTCTGTGGACACTGATTTAAGGGTGAACACCAGGAACTATTATGTGTTGGGGACTCTGGTGACCACAGACCACCTTCTGCAGAGTGAATACACTAAGAGGGGAGTACCTTGGTGTATTCACCCACCCCACTTACATCAGTGACCTCCTTCCCACAAACTGTGACTTGGTTGGAGGTTAAACCTCATTGCTGGCTCAGGTGCAGGGCAGTCAGACACGGTCCTCCGGGTGACTCTTCTCATCACCAGCTCTGTCCTCTCATTATCCAGAGTCCAGACTATGTTCAGTTCTCCAACACACAATTCTAGGTGGCGACCGGCGGCACTCCTAAGTCCCGGCTCCCCCTCTAGTGCTGCTGTAATTCTTAAAAGGCTCCAAGTGGCGCCATGATGTCATAACGTGCCTGCCCCCCATCCGGCTTCAGAACTGTACATGTGAATTAGACGAGGACTAAAATGTCCTGTGATTATCTGCTCCTGTCCAAATTAATCATTCTAGCTAGCTTTGGAATGTGTGCACACTGGAAGAGACTCACGCTGACACACAAGTTCAGTCTATGAACACTTCTAGTTTATTATAATGAGAAAGTGAGCTTATATATGCAAAATGATGCAAGAGTCATGTGAGAGCTGCATAAGCATTATATTAGTTTGTGATTGGTCATTTACACAGGAAAACAATCTTCGTCAGTCTTTGTCTCAAGTTGGCACGATGGGAGGGGGTTGGTGCATGTGAGCAGACACCTCCCGAGCAAGGATTTCTTAAAGTACCACAAAGCCCAGCAGGCAGAAAATATACTCAAATATATATTCATACAAAACATTTAGAAATATAAAAAAGTATAAAAGTAGATATGTATAAAATTTATAGAAAAATGTATATATTCAATAGGAAACCAAATAGGCATTTTACCATATCCATCACAGTCCCCCCTTAAAATGACTATTTTACTCTGTCCCTATAAAACCTAGCTCATCTGTTCCTTATGTACCTTGGAACTCTTTTATGCTGTACATTAGACAGGTGATGACTATTTCATCACCCTCCTTGCCACAGACTTTGTACATAAGGAAGTCAGATGCTATCCCTTCAAAATTGTGAGATTACTGTTGGCGGGGAGGGACCGTAATGGGGTATAAGGTTTTTCTTCATCTATCATATGGAGATCCTCTTGCTCCTGGTTCAGGAAGGTAGGTGTACTGTTGTCTACAGCTTTGCACATCAATTTCTTCACACATGGTATAAACACAGCATACAATCAGGGCCAGGAGAATCAGAATTATTAATACAGTTATCCCTATTTGGGCAAGTATCTTTTGCCATCCACTCATCCAACTGAAGTATTGATCCCACGGGTCTGTGATCCCTGAATTCTTCTTCAACTCAACTGACAGGTCTTCTAATTTCTTTATAGCCAGAGTAACCTTACCATTTGGGCCAGTATTTTCAGAAATATATGTACAAAATGTTCCGGTTCCTTCTATCATTTTACAGACACCTCCTTTTTCCGCAAAAATCATGTCCAGAGCCATCCTATTCTGGAATGTCATGTAGGATGTAGGGGCTAACTGGTCAACGATTCCTTGGAGGGCATCCCTGGTGTAATTCAGAAATCTCTGTTGGTTGTAGTATATGTAATTTATCCAATCTACATTTTTATTAACAGTTATCATGGGAATCAGGGATTCGAAGCCTGCTTTTACATGGTCTCTGGCTTTAAATTCATTAGGCACCCCCCTTGGGACTCCAATGGCATCTGTATACACATGTGGGTCAAAACTACCAGAAGGAGCTTGTCACTTCCTCCTACGACCAGGCATTGGGTCATGGGTATTTGCTGCTAGGATGTGGAGAGGCATAACGGCCTTTGCAAGAGCATACTCACCAGTCCAAATCCCTTCCAATCTGGTTCTAATCTTTTGGTCCCCAGTAATCATCCATGACACATATATATACCTGGTCACTACCATCGGAACATGCTCGTTGTGTCAAGATCATATGGATCACGGTCATAGCACCACATGGGATCTATACTACAGAAATCAAAGGTGAAAATAGCTACATGAGTGTTGGATGAGTTGTACCAAAATATATAGTGGTATCTCCTATTTCGGTGATAGCCACCTGTTAAGCCTCTGTCAGACTCATTAGATAAAGGATATACAACATAGTTGTCATGGTGTAGATGACGCCTTTTCCTCAGGGCTTGGGACTTTCTTGCAGTGGGAGGCGTGTATTCAAGTGTTCTTCCCGGCCACCTTGACAGAAGTGGCTGTGGTCAGCAGAACTTGGAATGGACCATCATATCTTGGCTCAAGAGAATGTTTACTCACAAATTTCTTTACTAATACCCAATCTCCGGGTAATAGGCTGTTCCTGTATCTGACTCAGGATCTGGAATGGAAGAAAACACTTGAACATAGATACGGGTTAATTCACGTGATAATACAGTCACATAATCAGTTAACACATCAGATTGTAAT